ACTTAAGAAATATCTGTCTGATTTTTTACTTCAAATCTTTTCCCTGCCTTCATTTTATTTGTTTTTAGAGATAAAGAGGCAAAAGCACTGTTTTTGTGTAAATCTGCATGCTTTAAGCTACATACTTAAGGGTAAGCCCTAATGAATTCATTTTAATAGTAATTTTATTCAAAGATTATAAATTATAATATCAAAAAATTAATACATACTAAAAAAACGAAGAATAAAAAGAAAAAGTAGAAGATACAGAAAAGAAAAAAGGAAAATATAGGAAGATAAATAAAAAAGGAAGACTATAGTAGAAAGAAGAGAAATGTATAAGTGATTATCCACCTTCACCACAACAATTATAAGCAATTTTAGTAACTGATCACCTCCTTTTAAAATACAACAAATGATCTCCTCTTCCTATATCCTTTCTCTTATCTATAAACAAGACCATAAAAGACTGCCTTTCCAATCTTGGTGTCAGCAAAAGTCCATTAAAGGTTACCAGAAATAACAACAAATCTTGATCAACTAAATCAACTTTATATTCCTTCCTTTTACGTCTAACAATCTTAATTTTTAGTTCATTGAAATAATGTCATAGAATTTGAATTTTTTTTAAAAAAAATGTTCATTTGTTCTTTTTCACAAGATTTTTAAAAACTCTTTTGCAAATCCAATATAGAAAAATTATCCAGGTCTCTCTTTTGGTTTATTTTGCATATCCCTTGTAATTATTAACACATAGGCTGGTTTCTATTTTTATGTGCAGTGTAATATCTTTCTTCTCATCATTCTCAGTCTTGATCTTGTCAGGTAGAATTTGTTCTTCTTCCATAACATCTTTTGGACACAATCTCCAGAGAGGCAGATGTCTCTATTGGCACTATTAAAACTAATTTCTGAGACCATTGTTCAAAAATATTTATTTGTCTAATTTTATCTCAGTTATCTAATTTCATATAATTTATCAAGTTTTATCTATTTTATATAACCACCCATCGCATAAGCAAGTGATTCTCATGATTTACAATAAAAACATCCTTTAATATGTCCAGTGTTAGAATATTTAGTTCCATTCTATAATGGAGTTCATATGTTTTTCTCCTTTAATTGTAATCTTTGAGTTCCTCTAGTGTCCAGTTTTTAAAATCTTATTTTTTAAAATAAAATCAAAAACATTTTTCCACAGTAAGCCTAATGAATTTGATGGGATTTATGTTAGATAAGCATTTAGGAAATGATGCAGTTATTTTTCTAACAATAGTCTTTGATTTCAGATAGGTGTTAATTGTGGCTGTTCATCTGCATGGATGCATAAAAATAGTTGCACACACGTTCATGCATATATTCACACTCATACATACCTACATCTCCCAGATCTCTATAAACAGGGTAGCTTAAGTTTTGCAGACAGACTGAGTGAACTTCATGCTTTCCTAATTCAAATCATGAATGCTGCAAACTCACCAAACAGTTGTAGACTGTTAGGATTCCAATCCTTGTGAGAAATAAAACAAGAAGAGATATATGCACCCATCTTCTTCCATTATATTATTGTGACAGAGCCAACAGAGGAAGAAAAAAAATCAGGGAATGCAATATCCATCCCTGGAACACCACCCATGTGATCTCTAATTGCTATGTTTCCCTTAGGAATTTTGTTTGCCAATATGTGACTGAAACCTGATAGTGATTTTCCTAAGCATTTTAGAAAGAAAACCATCATTTCTAAGCTTATAATAAAAATGACCCCCTTTTTATATATATATATGTATACAGGGGATGCTCCATTTTGTACACCGGAGCAGTATAAGGAGTGTGCAGAGCCTGCACTAGGTAAGTTCTGAAGGAATTTTCTTACCATCAGGATTGCTTATTTCTTCTAATCTAGGCTGATATTTCAAAAAGATCACATTTCAGACTGAGAATATATTGTTACAGAATATGTTACATAAGAATGAAAATTCCTCTGCATACAAATAGAGGGTGTCTTGCACACAACCAAGCAAATATCAGCTGCCTCCTTGTAGATTGGCTTATGCAAACCTTCCATAGCACATGACATAACTCAGTCACAATATAACTTGTTTTCCTAGAACTTGCAATTTCTGCCTGTGATGGCCCTTGGGAAAAACTGGGAAGAATGAAATTCTAAGTTCATGTTTAAATTTGCAGCATCCAAATTCAGTTTCTCTCCCTCAGTTAATTTAAGGAGGTGAACATTTTTGCCTTGAAATTCATTAGAAATGTGTACTGTAAAGAATTCTCATCAAGTCAGAATTCAAAAGCAAAATTTTATTTTTGACATTTTAACTTTGTGAACACTTCTGGGCAGCTGCAGTATTGATATGGTATTTATTTAGATTCATATCTCCCTCATTCTTCATTCTCCTATGGTATCTCTATTCACGTACTGGTTTGTTCCACAAGACAGATGATTTCTGGGGTAGGAAAAGAAAGGATTAGGCACTGGTCAGTTCTGCTTATCACTCCTTTTGTTCCTTTGACCTTGGATAAGTGCATGTTGAACTCAAAATGGAGTGCTTTTAGCTTGGGCTATTTCAAATTTCAGCTTGGCACATATTTGGAATGATGAGGGCAACTGTTTCAAACTCAGCATTTAGCATTTTGAATGTAAATCTGTTGTTTTTGAGTTTGATATGTATTACACATGGAACAATTTGTACATTTCTGTTTCATGTGTAAAGTTACATATAGCTGAGCATGGAGTATAATCTAAGAACAAGTTTCCACATATTACTGCAAAAAAAACAGGGAAGGCAGAGGCTATTTCTGGCAGCAAACTCACTGTCACTACAGCATATAAATTGGACTGTTAATAGACTTTTTAAAAGGAGGACAGAATTCATAATGGATTACCCCCATCAGTGGCTTTTTTTTTAGCTATGATTGTTAACAATAGAACTTTAATGAATGTCTTTGGTGAACAGAAAAGAGAACATAGGGTCCTAGTTATCTCTGCCATGAGTTAAATAAAACATTCTAGTGGCACTGGCCTAGCTATTATTGTGTGGGTATAAATCTGCCTTTTCCAAAAGCATATTCTTCCATTTCATGAGCATATATAACCCCTCTGGATATTCCCTGGGTAGGATCATGGGAATTATAGTCAACCACAACTGAAAGGCACCAAGTTAAATAATGCAGGTCTAGTTCAATCTTTCATCTAGGTCAGAAAAGTACTTCTTCCATCTACATGGGATTGAATTTTACCAGTGACCCATCTGATTCTTACTTTGCCTTACAGTGCTTCTCGGTGAAAAGGGAAATGATTATTGTGAGTGCCAAACCCCATGCAATTTGACCCGTTACAACAAGGAGCTGTCCATGGTTAAGATCCCCAGCAAGACCTCAGCTAAATACCTTGAGAAGAAGTTTAACAAGTCAGAGAAATATATCTCGTACGTAATCCTGGTTAAACAGGGGTGGAATAATCATCTTATTAAGTAATGTAACCCAAAGGGAAGTTGTGTAATAACAAAATATATGGTGGTTATTGTCAAGTATCAGTTGGGATTCATTCATTTGAGATTCACTCAGGTATCAGTTTCCAGATTGGTTAGATTTCAAATTTCAGAACAATTATGCGTTACTTGCTACCAAGACCACTGAATAAGCCACCCAACTGGATCTGGAATTAGAAATCCAGTCAGTAAAAATTTAGGGTTTCCAGAGTATCAAACAAGGTTCAGTGCTAGAGGCAAGGGCCTAATCAAACACAGATAGAAGACACAATCTAAAGTCTCCAGTTAAAGGTCAGGAGATCCAGAAATAAGTACACAATCAAAACAATCAATAAACTAGATTGATGAAAGATGCAAATATTCTGTTCTTGTAATGTTCAGAAGAGATATATTGGAAGTCAGGATTTTACGGGACACTGTATCTTGGGTTTGGTCCCTACAATCAATTATTGTGTTCTAGTAAGCTGTTTTTGCAATCAATATTCTTGAAACCAAGGAACTTTGCACAAATGGCCAAGTCAAAATCTCCAAACTGTACATCTAGACCATCGGTAAAATTATTAGTATGGACCCTCCAGGTTCATTAGAGTCTACACCTGACTATCAATTGTTGAGAATAGCAATATCTTCAAAGAATTATTGCCTTAAAGCCCTGCCTCCATATCATTGTTTATTATGGAAACAGAAAGATGGACTATCTGCTCCAAGCTGGTATACTCCAAATTTGGTAGGATGTAATTTTAAGAATTCTGTGAATTATAACCAGCGTATCTGGAAAGTGCCAGTTTTGAGAAGGGAGATCAAACCTAGTAAGGCATGCCTATTGTTTACCGGGACTTTGTGGCATCTTTCTTCTTCCCAGTCTCCAAGGGAATCAGGGTTGTCTACAAGCAGCTTTTATTCTTAATCACCTGCACATTTGGAACAAGTATTCAGGGAAAAATGGTAGATAAGACAAGAGTGAATATTCTGTTATCAAGAAACTATAAGAGAGGAATGGGATATATGGGACCCTTAGTACCATTTGAATTATAACCGCAACTAACATTATCAGTGGTTTGGTACAATGGAAATCATAGTCCAACAGCACTGGAGCTTGCATGTTCTTACTTACTCTCAAGGAATGAATTGCTTCCTCTTGATGTCCTCCTGGCTGCCTGTTTTCTTTCCTTAGGGAGAATATACTTGTACTGGATATATTCTTTGAAGCTCTTAACTATGAGACCATTGAGCAGAGGAAAGCCTATGAAATGGCAGCATTACTTGGTGAGTAAATATTCTATGCATATATACAACACAATTGTAGTTTGTATGCAATGTGGAGCTTCAGCCCTATGAAGTTCTCTAATCTCAGGAAACTCCTGTCAGTTGGTGAGGAACAATAGAAAGCAGAAACAAAGCAACATGGACACAGGAAGAGAGAAAGAGAGGTAAACCCAACAAGCACTAAAAAATGCCCTAGGCTGCAATTGACTCTCCTTATTACTTTGACCACTGAATAAATATGACCCAGAAGCCTTTAGCATCACTGACCTACTCTGCTCTATAGGTAGTTCTCGAATTACAATCACAACTGAGACAAGAATTTCCATTATTAAGCAAGGCAATTGTTAAGTGAGTCACATCCTATTCTCCAGCATGATGAATGTAAAATCCACCGCTGGGTAATCTCAGCCTTCCTACTCAGATGAGACTAAGTCAGAACTTTAGCCACGCCTCCCTCTGGATGTGTCCTCCAGTTATTGACTTAGTCTCACCTCAGTAGGATGCAACTCTGCTGGCTTCTCAGTTAGACTAGGTTAATTAATTTGATTGATTCACTAATTGGATTTTATTTACATTCAAAAATATCTTAATTATCGTCATTTATTCTTTATTGAAATTTGGATTCAAATTGGCAATTGTATTGGTCTATTGCTCAGGCCTTTTAGGCTTCAACGAGCCTAACAGGCTCCTGTGCAGCAGACTACAGGCCGATCTGGAGTGGGGCTTTTAGCTCCGATCCAGCTGATCAGCGGGAGCGTGGATCAGCAGAATAGCTGGCTTGCGGCGACTAGGAGTTTCCTCGGAGCTCGGGCAGACCGGAGGGCTTCCCTTTCGAATTGTTGTTGATGCCACGGAAGCAGGCGAATTTTGGATCGCAGCAGAGGCTGCGCGACTTAACAGCAAATGTTTTTGACGAACGGGGTAAAGAGGACTTTAAATATATTGGGAGATCCCTTAAAGCCCTTCCCTTCCAGGAGGTTAGTAGCCTTCTCTTTGCAGTTCTCGGCATGGCCGCCAATTTTAAGAGGGACTGCACAGGTGTGGCCACTATTTTGACCACTTGTTTAGGTGCGGACGCCATTTTAAATGCGCTTTTAGGCACGGACGCCATTTTGTAGGAACCTCGTGTTCTCAGAGTATAATTGGGCCTACATTATTCGTCTCCTGAGCCTGCTGTGTCAGGCCTCTACCGGGGGGAAGTATTTAATGCTATTCAGGACAATTCTGTGCGTTATCAAGACCAATCATGTGGTTGATCATTATATTGCATTTATATTATTTGATCTAACTACTCATTGAAGCTCAGGTTACATTCCTTTCATTACGTGTGTTAAGTTAGCGAGGGAGAATTTATATTAGAATCCACCTGTTCCATTAGTTTGTGGCACTGTGCCACAAGGCCTAGACAGATAGTTCTAGTGAACTGTCTGGCTGTTTGCCATTGTTGTTGTTCAGAGCACGAGTCATTTTCCCTCTCTGACAACCAGATCTGCGTGTTTGGGTTCCCCCCATTTCTGGATATCTCCTACCCAGAATATCCAGACTGCAATGGCAGACAGTGCCTCGCCCCAGGCATCATAGGGCTCTGATATTCCCCACACACAAGCAAAGCGCAGATCATCTGATTTGGAAGCGGGGGGAAAGAAAAAGGCTCCACCAGGAGCCCTCCAAGGCAGCCGAGCGAGAGGCCTCGAGGAGACATCAGGCGCTGGAGAGGGAATTCTCCAAAGCTCAAAGGCTCATCTCCAGTGAAGTTGATGTGGTCCCCCCCCCCGTTCCATTGGACTGTTCTCCATTTGAGCCTCCATATGCGCCTTCCCATGAGGCCCCTAGGGCATGGTCTCCTCAGGGGGAAACTGAACAGGTTGGTCCCCCTTGCTCCTCATCTTCTATTACACAACAAGGTCCTGAAGCCACGTATACTACCACTGCAGCTGGGGTTCGTTCTATGGACCAACAGGATATATGGTCAGACCAGTTCCAGGCATTTATGCACCATGCTTTTACACAATTTATGTCATCCTCTAGGAGTCAATGGCCCTTGCAGCCACCACCACCTCCATCCATGCCTCCTTCTCAAATGGGACGTGCTACGGTTCCCGGTTCCGGTATCTCCGAGCCTTCCTCTCAATTAGGTGAGGAGAGGTCTGTGGACCTGGAGATAGCTGACATGCCCATGTCAGAGGAGGAGGAGGAAGCGCCAGAACAAGCACCAACCTCTGGTCTATTTGATCCTTCCCTTTTCAGGTCATTACTTATGAAGGCCTGTACTACAGCCAACTTCACTTCGGCACAGGAGGATAAACCTTCCACCTCCACTAGCCAGGAGTCCAATCCTTTGTTTGCAGAACAGGTAGTGGAGGGGAAACAAATCCCTTGCCCGAATGTCTTTCGTACTATAGTGGAGAAACAGTGGTCCTCTCTGGCCACTTTACCTTCTGCTACTAGCACAGAAAAGAAACTTTTCAATGTTTCTTCTTCATTTTCTTCCCTTTTGGAAGTGCCTATGGTGGACACTCCACTAACTTCTTTATTTTCCACATCCACAATTCCAGGGGATATAGCAGAGGCTCTGAAGGCAGAGGATGAGAAGTTTGAGTTCTGCCTCTGCCGAGCTCACCAGGCCTCGGCATGGGCGATTAAGGCGGCGACTTCATCTTCCTTTTTTGCAAGGGCATCAATCATGTGGCTCCATGAACTCCAGGCGCTCGTTCCTCCTGACCAGGTGTGCACACACCAGACACTGGGGAAGTTAGTGGCAGCGTCTGAATATATAGCAGATGCTTCTCTTCATTTGGCCAGATACTCCGCTAGATCTATTGCAGCCACTGTTGCCTCTCGCAGGCTACTGTGGCTGAAGCAGTGGCAGACTGACTTAAAGTCTAAGTGGCGCCTGTCGACTGCCGCGTACAGTGGTACACATTTATTCAGCCCGGTCCTCAAACCGCATATAATTGAGGGCAAAGACAAACGTAAGATTCTGACACACCCTTCCAAAAAATTGGGTAGGCGGCCCCAGCAGGATTTTCGCAGACAGTCTTTCCATCCCAGTGGTTCCTGGGAGTGGAGGCAGCCCTTTCAGGCTGGGCAGTCCTGAGATTGGCCCAGAGGCTCACGATCCTTTCCTCCTAGACAGGATCATCAACAGGACCACCAGAACACTGGAGCCAAGGGCATCCTTACAGACAGACCAAGTGACGTCAAAGAGAACTCTCCCATAGGCAGTCGCTTGTCGCTGTTCAGTAACATTTGGGAGGTTACCACCACTGACTCTTGGGTCAGAGAGACCATAAAACACGGTCTCGCTCTAGAGTTCTTCTCAAATCCTCCAGACTGTTTCATACAGTGTCCCGTATCCAGAAACAGAACCAAGGCAGAATTGGTAGCCACGGCCATCTCCCATTTGATAGAAATCAGGGCCATAGAACTGGTACCTCAGAAGCAGAAGGGAGAGGGATTTTACTCTATTCTGTTCATGGTACCCAAAACCTCGGGGGGATGGAGGGCTATACTGGACTTAAAGGGCCTGAATTATTTCTTGACCTACAGGAGGTTCAAGATGCAATCCCTAAAGTCCACTCTGGCCATCATCAGGGAAGGAGATTTCTTTTCCTCCATAGATCTGACAGAAGCATACTTGCACATCCCAATCCTCCCGGAACACCGCAGATTCCTTCGGTTTTGTTACGCGCATCGGCATTACCAATACAGGGTTCTTCCCTTTGGTCTCTCTTCAGCTCCAAGGGTCTTTACAAAAATTTTGGCAGTACTGGCGGCCCACCTCAGGATGATACTGGTGCGCGTACAATGCTATCTGGATGATATTCTTGTCCAATCCAGTTCTTTCAGGTCGGCTCAGTCAGATCTGGAAATCACGATCAATACACTTCAGGATCACGGGTTTTCCATGAATTTCAAGAAAAGCCACACAATTCCCACAAAGTGTCTCCTTCATCTAGGGGCGTTAATAGATTCAGATCTTTGCAAGGTTTATCTTTCATAGGAGCGCCGGATCAGCATCCGGAAGCTTGTCCACCAGATTCGGAGAGAGAAGGTAGTTCCTCTGATCCAGCTGTCTTAACTGCTGGGAAAGATGGTTTCTTGCATGGGGATCAGTCCGTAGGCCAGACTTCACTCCAGAAACCTTCAGTGGTTTCTCCTCCCCTTCCAGAAACGAAGCCTCAGTTCATCCACAAGGAGGGTGAGGGTTCCTCACCACACCCTGTTATCTCTTCTGTGGTGGGCTTCCTCCGCAATGACCAAGGGGACCCTCTTCAAGGAACCTCTCAGGCTCACCTTGACCACAGACGCCAGTCTGTTCGGTTGGGGTGCCCATCTACAGACTCATCTGGCACAGGGTCAGTGGTCCCGGGCGGATTTAGTTCACAACATCAATTGGCTCAAACTCAGAGCCATACACTTGGCACTCTGTTAGTTTTCCTCCATAGTGGCGGGACAACACGTCCTGATTCTGACAGACAACGTGGAGCCAAGGCTCATGTCAACAAGCAGGGAGGGACCCAGTCATGGTCACTCATGCTGGAGACCTTGGATCTGGGTCTGTGGGCAGAGTCCAATCTGGGTTCCATCAGGGTGGAACACATCGGGGGACGCAAATCGACAAGCAGATTCTCTGAGCAGGGTCACAGTCGACCACTCGGAGTGGCGTCTGGACCCGGCACTGTTCAGGGAGATCTCAATCAGATTTGGTCATCCACAACTGGATCGTTTTGCCTCCCCGATAAACTCCTAACTCCCCGGGTTCTTCACCAGGTTCCCAGCATGGGAGGCGGAGGGAACAGATGCTCTCTGGTGTGAGTGGCCGGGGGGACTGCTTTATGCCTTCCCTCCCCTTCCATTGATACAGGCAACCATTCGCAAACTGATTCAGGAACGGACAGAGATAATCTTAATTGCTCCACATTGGCCCAGGCATCCGTGGTTTGCCGACCTTGTGGATCTATCGCTCTCGCCACCGTGGAGGATTCCCCCGGACAGAGTTGCTCTCAGCCAAGGGAATCTTCATCATCCAGATCCACAGTGGCTCCAGTTGGCTGCCTGGCATTTGAGCGGGAAAGTTTAGCTAGACAATCCTATTCGTCAGGGGTGATCTTGATGATCCAAGCCTCAAGGCGCCCCTTGACTAACAGGATTTATGACGCCACATGGAAGAACTTTTGCATGTGGTGTGCTAAGCAGCATCTCCGGCCGTTATCAATCACCATTCCTAATATATTGGAATATCTTTTGGAAGGTATCAATAAGGGTTTATCACCTAGCACCATCCGCAGGCAGGTTGTGGCCCTATCAACAGTCCTTACCTGCGACAACCTGGTTCCTTTGTTGCAACAGCCGGCAGTTAGTGCTTTTCTGAAAGGGGCGGTTAACGCTAGACCACCTGCAGTGCATCGTTATCCATCTTGGGACTTACCTAGGATGTTACAAGCCCTGACTTCTCCACTGTTCGAGCCCCTTAGGTCTTGCTCACTTCATTTTCTTTCTTTGAAAGTGGCATTCTTAGTGGCTATCACATTGGCTAGGAGGATTTTGGAATTGGTCGACTTTCAGTTCGGAGTGATTTGTGTACCTTTTTTGAGGATAGGGTGGTCCTTCGATTGGACCTCTCCTTTATTCCAAAAGTCAATACCTGGTTTCATAGGTCGTAGGACCTGGTTCTTCCAGATTTTTGTCATAATCCGTCACATCGTCTGGAGAGACAGTGGCCTAAGTTAGATGTGCGCAGGGCTCTGCTTCATTATGTGAAGCGGACCTCAGCCTTTCACAAGTCGGAGGCATTGTTCGTGTCCTTTCAGCCCTCTGCCATGAGCCAGAAAGTATCCTCTTTGACCATTGGTAGATGGATTAGAGCATGCATTGCTCGAGCCTGTCTTTCTCAGTCACTTCCAGTTCCTACACACATCACTGCTCACTTGATGCACAGTGCGGCTGCATCAGCAGCCTGGTCCACCCAGGCATCGGTCGAGTAGATCTGTAGGGCAGCGACCTGGTCTTCCCCTTCTTCATTTGTAAAACATTACAAGATTGATAGGTTTGCAGCGGCGGATGCCTCGTTTGGTAGGAGGGTTCTACAGCAAGTAGTTTCTTCTCAGGGGACACAAGCCTAGACTTTTCCCTCCCCGTAGGGACATGGGCGGCTTTGGTATGTCCCATCGATGGATTCTACATTCATCATGCTGGAGAAGGGGCGTTGTCTTACCTGAACGCCTTTTCTCAGCATGATGATGTAGAATCCACACACCCCCTTTAAGGCAGTCTAGGCAGGTGTCATGATATTTGGAGCCATTGCGTCAGACTTCGTCATGGATGCTTCACCTCGTCAATAACTGGAGGACACACCCAGAGAGAGGTGTGGCTAAAGTTCTGACTTAGTCTCATCTGAGCAGGAAGGCTGAGATTACCCACCAGTGGATTCTACAACATTATGCTGAGAAAAGACGTTCAGGTAAGACAACACCCCTTTTATGACCCTTTTTGCCACTTTTGTTAATCAAATCATTGCAGTTGTTAAGTGAATCACACAGATATTAAGTGGATGCAGGTTCCCCCAGTGACTTTGAATGTTGGAAGCCAGCTGCAAAGGTCATAAAGCAATTACATGACCCTGGCACTCTGCAATCATCATAAGTACTTAATGTTCACATGACTGTGGGATGCTATGATGGTTATAAGTGTGAGGACCCATTGTAAGTCAGTTTTTTCAGTGCTGTGGTAACTTTGAATAGTGACTAAATAAATGGTTATAAATCAAGAACTACCTGTATTATTGTGAGGCTTCTATTCTGAGCTCATAAAAATCTGATTCCACCAGCTCAGAATCGTAATATGAATTCATGAAGTTTATGCCAATCTATTCAGGGAAAATAGGAAAATTGGAAAATGAAAATCTGCTTCCACCACTTTAAATATTCAAGGTAAATCTATCTGTTAGGAGAGTATCAACCAGACCTACTATTCTTATTTTCTCTGTTGGGCCTTATCCAGTTTTGATGTGAAACTTTCTTGAATTAAGGCACAATAAGGCTTATTTGAGTTGGCAAGGAGACTACGGTTCTCAGAAAATAATGAAATAATAAAGGAAAAAAATTAAACAAAAATAAAACAACATCATTTTTTGCCAGACAGGCAAAGAAAGGTGAGACTAGACTATATAACAGGGAAATTTCTTGCATCAGATCTTGGGCTTATATAAAGTTTCACCTATCAATTAAGAGAGTCATATCTCTGTGGTGCTATATTTGAAATATTTGTTATCTGATATGGTATTCCATCAATATATCAAGTTTCTTCTCAGATCATCTGGCCCTTATTTAGGCATCCTAAGTATGGTATTGCATGTTTAATCATAGAACCAGTAACTGAAACAGTATTGAAGTAGATGAGAAAATATTGATTGCCATGATAGAAGA